GAAGGGATATTTCAGGCTGGGTAGTGGCTTGTCCACCCAGAAGAGCAGCATCCCCTGTTAGCGAAAGAAAAGAATCAATCAGGGGCAGGGGAGCCAGAGTGCCTTAATTAAGTGCCTGACATTGTGGGATGTCTTCTTAGTGAGTCTATGCCCAGTTAGTCTATGTGGATTGATTTTGTGATTACATCTTGAAGTCCTGCCGCCGGGAGCCTTGATAAAATCTTTACATCTACATTAATCAGGGAAACCAGGTAAGCACCTTGGAGTACTCGCCAGATGTGTCCAGCAGACGAGGGTCTCCACTGAGGAGATCACTGTTCTGAGGGTGGACATGAAGCATCAAGCCTGAGCAGTGAACAGGGGCAGGGGGTTGGAGTGGCTGGTGTGTACTTGCCCAGGGAACTTGAGAAACCCACAAAGCCAGGTGTGAAGAAGGCCCAGAGGCTTCTATGCCTGAGCTTTCAGCAGCAGGCAGAGCCCTCCTGCCGGAGTGGCAAGAAGACTCAACCTGAGGGGCACTGAAAGATCATCTGGGCTCTCCCAAAGAAGTGGGAATTGGACAGAGTAGGACTTATGGGGGCGGGGGACCAAGGCTTCTTTTGTCCCTGTACACAGATGAATCATCCCTGAAGTAACACATCTTTTACAAACATGCCCCAGGTAGTTGTGCGTTAACACGACGTATTTAACCAAAGGCTCTTAGGAAGAAGGCATTGTGTGCCTCTTGGGTGGGCAGGACATGCAGGCAGACGATTTTTCTTATTATAAAAACACATATATTAAAAATAATGATAATTTCATACATTGAGTCTTCTTCAAGAATCTGGAGAACCTAACTTAATCCAGAGCCTAAACTACCATGTAGTTTGAACTGTTTCAGCACAAAATTAGTTTTATACACCCGAGCTTCGTTCATTTGTACCTCTACAAGTTACCAAAATAGTTGTTAAACATTTTGGCTGTTCCCTTCCTTCCTTCCACCTTCCTTCTTTCTCTCTCTATTTAGACAAGGTCTCACTAGGTCACGATCCTCCTGCTTCAGCCTTATAAACAGCTGCAGTTACAGGCTCACTCCACCACACCTGGCTTTTAGGGTGGGCTAGGAATTGAACTCAAGTCTCCCATGTGTCCTCAGTCCCCCAAGTACAGCATCAACTAGCGTGAGTTACCTTGGGCAGGGCCTGGCTATTTGTCTTTTTGCAAAAGCACGTGCTAGTCATCCAAATCAAAACTTTCTCTTTTATTTTGTTGTTGTTTTTAAGTTCCATGAGAGAGACAGAGAGAAAGAGAGACAACACTCCTGACAGAATCTCAACATTGCAACCCACCCCTAAACCCCTGAACCTTCCTATGTGGGTCAGCCTTGCAGTACCTTGCATTTTGTTTTTATTTAAAGAATTATTATTTAATTTTATTTATTATTTTAATTTTTTCTGGAGGGCACCTGTGCTTGGCAGAGAGAGAGAGAGAGAGAGAGAGAAAGTGAGAAAGCAAGCTGGCAGGTCCAAGACTGAAATTGTGGTTAGCCATGTGGGAGTCCAGCGCTGTAACCACCATGCCACCTTCTGGTTCCATAGAGCACTGTGTTTTACCACTATGCCACTATCCAGTCCCCAAATTAAAGTCTTTAAAACATGAGCTAAATGTGCTCCACTTACAATGATCATGTACCCATTGAATGCATGGGGTAAACTGAGGCCTTCAGGATCTTGCTATGCATTTCAAGATAACTGAAAGGGGAAAGAACGGAAGTCAGCCTCCTTCTAGCCTCTCCCACTGAGGGTACCTATCTTATGTGTATGTTTTTCCCCACGCTCCCTGAATTCACAGTTCCAGCAACTGTATTTTCTTCTGGTTTCTTGAGAAAGACAGACTTTGAGAAGTGATGTCTGAGGAAAGCAATACCCTTCAATGAAAAACTGGTCATAAAACATAAAAGAGGACCTCCCCTCCTCTCACTAACAGTAATGCGTCTTCTACTGTATCCTGCCTTCAAACAGCCAAAGAGCCGAATTTGAAACATTTGCGGCATTAAGGCAAAATTGAGCTTAGCCAGGGTCTTTATGGGTCTTATAAATATTTATACTTAATAACATCTGGGCCTGAGCTTTAGTTTTGAAGCTTGTGTTTGCTCCATGAGTGTAGTTTCTTGTTTGTTTGTTTGTTTTGGTTTTAAATGAGAACTGTGATTGTGAGAACACTGTTGGTTTAGTACTTAGTTTTCATATTCATGTCTCCTAGCATATCTCACAGGAGCCAAGCCAGAGCCTGTTTGATTTGTTCATTTCCTTACTAATCAAGAGGCACAAAGTGAAGCAGGACGGGGGGGGGGGCAGTTGAAGGTGGGAGCTCTCTTAGGACTGGCTCACATAGCTGAAGGTTACACAATTATCTGCAAATGTCAGACCCCCAAATCTGCTTTTGCCTGAATTGTATGATTGACTATCCCAGAGGTCCCAAATTTCCTCTAAATAATTGCATAATGTTCTCACTTTGTTTTAGCTAAGGGAACTTAGTCATGAGAATCAAACAAATGTTGATCTCTTCAAATTTTCCAAACGCTTTTCGAGAACTGATTTATTATTTTTGGATAGGTCAAAATCAGCCCCATTTGCACAGTCAGAGAGCAATAATACCTTCTGAAGCGAAAGGACAAAAATGTGTGAATGCCAGTAAAGTCAACCCTCGATTTTCCGCACTGGGAGAGGAGAAGTGGATTCAAAAATCGTGGGTATTTGGTTTGGAAATGGGTTTGCACTTTTAATAAGATCCAATACTTCCAAATTTTGTGGATAATCATTTCCAGCAAAGCAAGAAACCTTAGTTTGAAGAGTAACTTGAAAGGAGCTAGGAAGAGATTCTCGTTCCATCTCTTCTCTTGTTTATTTTTCAATAATACCTGGGGGTTTGCGGCCAGGTGTTAGCACAGCAGTAATGCGACTGGACTCACGTGGGAGGTCCCGGGTGAGGTCGCATGTGGGACTGCCCTGAGCATGCTGGGCACACATGTGTGTGCCTGTGATCTGGGCTGGCTGAGATTGGAGGTGGATTGCGGCATAAAGACCCTGGCTGGAGTGCCTGATTCCGTTACTTTCTCTCATGGAATAAGTAAATAATAAAACTTTGAGAGAATCCCCCCTCCCCCCACACACTCACACACAAAACAAAAAGCCTGGAAGGGAACACAAGGCTTCTTCATCAGCTCTGAAAGACTTTTTAAAAAGCTCTACTGCCCTTTTGAATGTCTCTGGAGCAAAACTGGTAGCATAACTGATGCTGCAAGGGGCTTGCTAGCAACAACGAAAGTTGCAGAAAACACAAAGAAAAACTAGAAAAGATCTATATGTCAGTAAAGCAAGGAATTAAAATGTTAGTGTTTCTTGTAGAAAGAGGGAGCTGTCAACTAGGAAAATAATTAAATGGTAAGTGCTGTCAATGAATTTGAAAGATTTGCCTCAGGTCAACCAAAATGCAGATAATTGATACATACACTCACACCACAGATACATACAGATGAAAGGAAGGCCATTTTGGCATAGATAAGTGAAGTGACTTGCTTAAGATCACTTGAGAATTACACTCCCAAGTTGACTCTTCTTTCATTGCCTTGTATGAGTTGCACAAGTGTTTTTCTTATTTTCTGCTCAAAAATGCAAGTGCAAAATTTTAACAATTCTATTCTTAGCACTGGCCTTTTCTAACTCTAAGCTCCTTCTGGGTGTCAACATCTTATCCTTTGAAAGAAGAGATAAGCATCTACTCTATTATTAGAAGCAAGGAGTTTGAAAACGTGATTTTTTCCCCCACCCTCAGCTCATCATTCAAAATGTGACAGAAAGTGAGAGTGAAACAGAAGATAAATGTCCTCCTCCTTGACTTGGAAGTTGGTATTTGTCCAAAGGTAGAAGTCTTTGGAATGAGATAGTAGGTAGAATTACACCTCATTTTCCTAACGATACAGGCACTATAATAACCTTGGAAAAGTAATCCTCAACATGATACCCATAGGAATATTTCTAATAAGTAATTCGAAATCATATAA